AAATCACTATTCGGTCAAGAAGCTGACCACTCAACCTGCGGAATGAAACTTGAACAGGATGTCGATTGATCACAACGATTCGCTAAGGTAACTTTGAGGCAGTGCATTGACGAAACTACGGGGGCTCGGAAATGGGTTGTACCGCAGTTCAAATGACGTAAATTGAGCATAGTTTCATTTTCGTCTGTAGTCCGTATCTTCAAATACGAATACCACACAAAGATTACGGGCGAGATTTTTTAAAACCCTAAATTGTTAGTAATTTAAAACCTGGTTCGTTGATAATAGTAGTCATAAGGGACGAGAGCATGATTTAAACCTTCAACTAATCTGCGGTGAGAGATTGTACATCACGACGGTCAGTCGAGCAGCTTACCGTCGCCATACCTCGTTTTTTCGACAAGCTTTCTAAGATTACCCTTTGTAAGAAATAAAAATTCCAAAAATTGCAAACTTTAAATATTCTGACTAATTTACGGCAGGATGGCTAAAGTTTGTGTTGGGGCTGCGCAGTTATAGTAGGTAGATGGTAAAGTAACTGCTTCAAACTATACAGACACTTGTGCATTAAACATATTACTGTGAGAAACGATAAAAATCCCAACTTCTCGATGATCGAAATCGGCAACCGAAGCCCCGGGACTTAAACCGCCTGAATAGTCAACATAATAGGAGTAGGGTTGAACCAGACGACAGCAAGCGTGGCTAGCATCGAAGCTAGCTGATAGTTCGAACGGTGAACAGCCAAGTTGAATCCATGTAAATGACGGACAGGGGCGAGGACACGATGAGGACCACCACCACCACCAGCTTGGTTTACACAACCCACCTGCGAATAACCAACCGAAAACAGTTCAACGACTAGCTCAAAGAAGGCCAGAAAGCAGATAATGTGTAATTCTCTGTAGAAAAATAGTGATGTTATACATGGCGGAATAATAATAATAATAGTGACCAGAAAATGCTTAAAAACGAGCCAGATGGCAAACCGAAGAAATAGGCGAATGATGAGATGGAAAAATTCACCAGCGCAGTAGAAATGCGGTATGTCAGCATGCGCGCGCGCATGAAATCAATGTGATAAAATTTATGATCCCCGGAAATGTGCGCAGAATAAATAAAAAAACACCGAAAACCGGTGCTGATTGGAAGAGGCGGGGGGGAATCGAACTGCCGACCGCAGTCTGAGTGGAATTTACAAAAATGTCTGGGGCCAGAGGTGGGGGCGTGGAGAGGTAAAGCGTATTAAGGATGCGAGTGATATCGAGCTTGTGGTGTACTGACGTCCACCGGATTCACTAGCGGAGCATTTCTGCTGTTACACGGATCCACGGAGTCTGTGATTGTCGAGCGTGCACGCGTTTGAAAAGAATGAATAAAGAGAGCACAGTGTGAACACATGGACTGGAAAACACGACCACCTCAATCAAATATACACACATCTATGAGACGGAGAAAGACAAGAGAAACGGAGAGAGGGGACGTTTTTGGTCACACATCATTCCGATAACGATCCTTGTAAAGCGAATAATAGCAAGTCTTTCTACCCAAAATACAAGTAGATACAGGTGCATCCCTGGAACACCAAAACAACACCGAAAGACCCATCAAATTTGGAGACAATGGTGACTTAAAAAGGACACCTGAAAAAGCTATGCAAGTTGGACAAAGAACTAACATTTCTCGTGATGTTTTGCGTTTCCAAAAATTTTGGTTTGTCTCTATGAGACAATATTCGACCTACAAGCACGAGCACTGCTCATTCTTTCCTCTTCTTCCTCCTTTTCAGCCATCTACTTTCACCGTGTTCTAACTTGACAGTTTTTTGGTTTGTTTGTGCCAACCGAAACCGATCGATATATTCGCCACGGCCAGGGTGGATTGGTACTGGTGCAACCATTATCAGTAAGAACCCTAGCGATTACTCACGCTCATCCCATGACGGTAATACCATCACTCCACACTCGCACACACATAAGCAGCCCTCGCTCTGGCCGTTTCGAGGTTTCCTTCAAGCGCTCGCTAATGAGGCGTTTGTTTACCTATCCCCTGATTGGACTACCCTGTCCATTGTATTTCGTTTCGGACTAGACAGTGTCACATTCCGGATGACCTAGGACTGTTCACTTCGCCTTCAAGGTCAACTTTAGGCTTTTATCGAAATTCCCGTTCGTCCAGCCCGTTTGACAGTTTAGTCCCACAACTAATCGGTGGTGAGCTACTGTACTAGATAAAATGGTTGTTTCGTTAACAAGTCGGTAGAGAAAGGTATTCGTGCGTGTGAGTTTATGTGCACTCACCCTAACACTCGGCTAACAGCTTCACTGCTGGAATTTCAGTCCTCGATCCTAAGGGAGCCAATGTGCTGCTCAGAAATCGTAAACCCCGTTGAGTATTAGCTAACTGGACCAACGCGGCTGTCTCTTGAAAATCCCATCACTGTCTGTGTTGTAGCCAGCGCATTAGCTCGTGCATGAAAAAAGGAAAAAATACCGTGTACGTAAGTGTCTAAGTTGAGATCAACCCAGCAATCTATGTTGATCAAATGTAATTGTTAACTACTGATTAAGTCTGCAGCAGTCAACGTGAGACTTCCACCTGGGCCTTTGAGGATATGGTTAATTTGGTGTTCTGGAGATACATGTATATTTACCGTTAAGGTCGCACGCATTGGATCAATCGGTTGGGTGATGGCGCCGCTTATAAACACCTATGGACCAACATGCTCATATAGGTCCCATTAGGCTCCCTAGCTGGGGACCCCGAGACCATGGTCATCCATTGTTAGAGACAGTGAGCGATATGGCTGGGTGTCGCAAACAGTGGCGCTTATGCATCTACTCATTATTCTTATAACTTCAGTTTATGTAAATGCGCTTTTTTCCATTTGAATCTGCTGTCAACATTCTAATCATTATTCTGCTCCGTTATGCAAATGGGCAACCAAAAGACAGCTACCAAAAGCGGCGAACGAAAGGGCATGGTTACTGGTTGTAAGAACTGAACTGCATCTGCGATAATACCTGAATACAAATCCCTCTAGAAAGCCTAACCCCGCCCCCCCCCCCAAAAAAAAAGAACCTGTTCTCACTCTACAAGCTGAACCATCACACATGATCAACGCATTTCAAGAGGATAGGAGTTGTGAGAAAGATAAATTTTGGTCGGATGACTCAAGCATTAAACCATAACCTAAGTGTTCTGGGGATGGTAAATTTTGACGGAAATAGCAAAACAGATGAAGAGAAGAGGATTTGAGTAGGCATTGAACATTGGAAATTTCACATCTGATGCGGTTGCCTGACGGTGGTGACTGTCCGTTAGATACTGCTACCGTATCTCATGGGTTTCTATAACTCTGGACGAGTCACACAACTAGAGTGAAAAAATACAATTCCTGAGCACAAGTATATGAATGAACTGACAAACGATTACCGGATACGCATGCCTGACGAGCGGCAAGAACCGCGAAACCGGTTGTATGCTTCCAGGGAAATTTTGTCCAGTCATCCACATACTACTTCTTATGAGAGTGAACAGTGTTCACCATGTTATTGTTTAATATTTTTTTCTACAATCAAAAGTACTTCTATTTAATCACAAAATGGAAATTAAGCATTGTCTAATAGCTTTAGGACGCTCTTTCACGATATTGCATTCGCGGTGCGAATTGCACTTCACGAAAAAGCGTTTTTTACACGATTTTTTTTAAATTCACTGGTTTCAAACAAATCCTATGGCATTACTCAGTGAGTTCTTGAGGAACTTGAAATATATCGCCAAATTCTCCAGGTTTGTTTGAAGGGCGCACCTTTCATAGAAAGCTATCCATTTTAGCACTACAATGTTATGAAAAAACTCTCCCATGTAACTTTGACTAAGTGTTCTCATCCTCCAGACCATGACCTTATTAGTAGTAGTATTAGTGATACTACTAGTAGTATGTTTCACATTTCTAACCGTGTGTCGAATAAATCATGGAGCAACAATCTTTATAACAAATAAACAGGTTCACGAGAGGAATGTTGCCTGGTAATCCTTCCCCGTCATCCCACCGATTCGAGGTTTATCCGCGCATTCTTCTCTTTCTCTGCTGGTCTTCAATCATGTACGATTTCCGCCGATGACCGATCAGTCGAAGAGTGAAGTGTAACAGAACTAGTGCATGACCCGACTCAACGCAGGTGGGATCATGCACTAGTTCTGTTACGCCGAGATCATGGTAATCGGCGGTTAGAGACATTGAGTGATATCGCTGAGTGTCGTAAACAGTGGCACTCGTGCATCTACTCATTAATCTTGCAACCCCAGTCTATATGAACTGTTTTTCGTCAACTCTGTTCTTCTGATTCCAATCTTCATTCTGCACTTTTATCCAAATGGGCAGCCAGCAACCAAAACCATCATACGAAAGTGCGCGGTTTATATTTGTAGGAACTGAACCGAAAAGAACCGAACCTTCTGGTGTTCTTGGCTCGTAATGACCAAGTTTCATACCTCTGAGTACGGGTCGGAAATCAACGCAAAAGATGCCAATCTTGGTTCGAAAACTAATCTCGCTTCAGGTCCTGATCACGCGATAAAGCTGGACGAACGATGCAGTGTACAGTGTAGATCTTTGTCGTTATCTTATCCTTTGGTCACTTGGAAGTGAAAACTGGCACATTCTCGACTTGTCGATCGTTGGTGAACATCGGATGAGCAAATGGTTCTGAGAAGGTATTTTGTTTTAGCTGAGTTGATTCCTAAACCGTCGATTGATACCATTGAGAAGTGGTTGGAACGAAACGGCGGATTCATCGAAGACGGCATCATCCGCCAAATTTTAGATCCGGGATGCGCACTGTGGAGCTCAGATGTAAATTAGGGTAGCCGGTTATCGCATGGCTCATTGCCATAGTGTTCTTTGATAATGGGCAATTCGAAAGATTTGTGAACTCTAACGCGGTGAAACGGAAGGGGAAAAAGAATGTAAGGAAAATTAATGAACACATCATCACTCATTTACCCTTGGGTTCTCTATTCAACGGCATCCCAATACGGGCCCGACGTAGACGGAGCTGTTCGCGACTGTGGTTCATACGGAATGCCAACTTAATCATTGATTCAATCTCCCTTGGGGTAGCCATAGCGGAGACGGGAATGCGAGCGCATGTCGCTGAAACCAGAGAGGAGCGTCAGTGGTAGAGAGTGGGAGTAAAATTGCGGAGAAGCAATGATGAGCATTGTTTGATTCAAGAAAACAATCAAGCACAAGTTATTTGAGTACCTCCCCATGAATCTATATGAATACTGGGTAAAGTAAGTGTCAAAAGTCGGTTCTTCAAGAAGTGCTCTTGATATATATTTTAAGCGCACCGGACACAAATCACATTTGGGAAGGGAATCACAGGCGTTTATATAGGAGCTTGAACCAAGCAGATTGCCCGGTTTGTAAAACAAAAGTCTTATACGAACCAATCCTAAGAACACAATCGATGCAGTAAAACAAACGATCAATCCGAACAACACTTTCCAACAAAGCAAGTGGCTTGTATATGCATATATTCATTGTTCAAACTTATTTTCTAGCAGGAGAGTTGTGTAAAAATGAACAGTATCCATTTTTAGAAATTGCAAACACTTTAACTCCAAAAAACATAACAACAATTTAAAGTCACTGGACTACTATATAAACAGACAATTGGGTTTATCAATTTCAAGTTACGTGATGTAAGTGCTCATGGGAAACCAAATCGGATCACACGAACTTTTCTTTCTTCTGCAATGGTAATTGATCAACCAAAACAACTAAAATTGTCGCAATCATGGCGGCTCACTTATGTGATATTCAAAATGGTACACCCCAGAATTAAATACAGTAGGAGTCGAAACGTAGTCCTATCGAGTCTTGATGTTCAGTCACAGGGATAAAAAAGTGAGACACAAGACCGTTATAGGATAGTTGAGATTCTGAACTGAGCATCAATGAAGTCGTCTACAACCGAAGTGAAATAGAGGGAAACAGGTGATGTGAGAGATAAAATGCACGCTGCATCGGTTCGGTCAACTTTAACATAGGGGACAGAGATGTGACCCATCGGAATCAGAGGATAAACGAATGGTCGGTGCCATCGACGAAATGATTTAACAGCCTGTTTGTTGAAGAGCTCGGATAGATGCTAAGCAAATATAGTCACACACCGTATCGGGTTTCGGATGTTCCAGTGTGGATTGTGGATGTGGGAACTATAATGTGTATATCTAAATTTTTAATATATCAGGACCGAGTGATGTTTGGAGTGTATCGAGAAAGGTTAGCCACGGTAACCGAAACGTCGGCGAATACAATTCTCTACCGACACCAGTTTTATCAACATCACAACACTCACAATAAAACAACACATAGCGCATCGATTTTGCGATACACTCCTAACATCATTTAGCCCCGATATATTAAAAATTATCATTAATTAAATTGCTCAGGGAAAAAACCTGATTAACTGGATCAATCATGGTGCATTCAATCAACGTTGTCTACGATATAATATGACTCTCAAATCCATCCTCCGGATAATTCTGTTAGCTCCCAAAGGACTACCTTGACAGCTTCACCCACATTCCTAAGACAACACATTCGCGATTGTACTGTAATCATACACTCATTATGTTTCAGAATTCGAAATCTGAATGATTATTTGAATCATTTGCTGCTAACACCCATTCTCCATGATGTCGCAAAAATAATCCAACAAAGAAGGGCACATACTTTCGAATCATGCCAGTCACGACAAAAACGCAAGTTTCCAAAACTGATGAACGAAACAACAACCGAAAGAAAACGAAAAACGAACTCTCGATAACTACTTGTCATGAATCCGGAAAATCTAGTTAAAAACCGATCAACCAGAGTTATGACGCCCATAGAATCACGTCCACTACAGATGGGTCTTAATTTCAAACTTCATAGAAAACCCTTGACGGTACAAGTGATCCCCATTCTAGAGCAGGCCTTATCCAAAATCCCAGAAAACAACACTAGTCACGTACAATTGAGGATATTTAATATTCTCAAGAACCAACAACCGATTGCTCCGAACGTCACATCAGAAAAAAGTAAAGCAATGACAACCTTGAAACGAGATTTTTCAATTCACATCACATAAGCCGACAGGGGGAACGTCACGGTCACCATAGATAAGGCAGATCATGAATCAAAAGTTTTGGAACACCTTAAAATGGAGCGTATGAACGAATTGAAGACAAAAGGGGGAATGCTATTCTCAACGGAACAAAAACTTGTGCAAACACATACTTATCAGGCTTGAAAGGCAAACACCGAAAACCGTTATGGTTTTCATTGGCACCCAAGACGAATGAACCGGGGAGATTTTACGGTCTACCAAAGATGCATAAACCGGACATACCAATTCGCCTCACACCTCAATGATCTGTTAAAACCATATCAAAAAATAGTGGTAAGCCACATCAATGATGCATTCGAGTTTATTCGTATTTTGCAAAACATTGAAATTGAAAGTGACGAGGTTGCTGCCAGCTTTGATGTGGTTTTGCTGTACACAAGTGTTCCGATAAAACAGAGCTTGGATTTTCTACATACTTCACTGATGTCTGATGTTACACTAGGTGGACGAACTTCTTTAGCCCCATCGGAAATTGTTACTGGTGTAGAAATTTGTCTGATGTAAACTTTATTTACTTGCAAAAACAATTTGTACAGACAAACCAATGGTGTTGCCATGGGATCTCATATCTCTCTCATTGTAGTAT